TAGTGCAGCGTACAAATGCTCACGGTAGTCATCTATTGGCATTATCGCACAACACCAACTGCCTGAGGCGCGTTTGGTTCTCAACACAATAATATGATTGAAGACCACTCATGAATCACACTGCATCCTCCGAAGTCGAGTGTGACTGGCATAAACCATATCCCAGTGCGAGCCTATGGTCGCACTCTCGAACTCTAGGTACTTGTGGAGACATCCGGTTGAGCCAACTACTCCCGACGGCGCACCTCAAGTTCATCTGCACACTACACGACGCTTTGTGTGTCCGACTGTAGACTCAAAAGCACTGAACAAACTTCCTGCCCCTGAATGGGTACCTTTGGACCCTTACCCACTTAATTTCACTTTCAGTCGTTCAACTACCACTTACTTCGTAATTCATTCCTACAATGTACCTAAATTGTTTTCAAGCCATTGATCTTGATTTCCGCTGATTCCTGCAACGTTCGCACAAGTAGTAATAGCCCGCGCTTCATTCCCTACAAAACGACGTGTGCGACCTGGTCGAACGCCCATTGCGCCGCCATAGTTTATGCGGCCAATCCGATCGCGCAATTTAAACAGTGATGCTCATCGCCAAGTCTAACACTGTAGTGATTAGTTGGAGATACAGCCTCGTATCCAGCAGCTGAGCAACGTATAGCCCAGTGCCAGCTGAGGGGAATTGGCTAATCACGTTTGTGTAACCTATCGGCCGATTATCTACCACGAAAACGGAGTTAGAGATGAGTACCGCTGAGGAACGAGGGCGTTCGTTTTGAGGTTGTAATTCGTATATCTAATGGTACCCGTAAATAGCGGTTTCAGAAACGGTAGATGGAGATATACTGCACGCATGTCGCCACTCCCACAGTAAGGATTTCTATTGGAACGGTTGTACGTAGTTAGCTGGGCCTAAAGACAGTTGACCAATCCCATTGTTAATGATCGCCAACTCCTGCGTATACAACAGGTCAACCACGGCGATTGTCTCAAAATTCCCTCCAAATCTGTGTGTAAGAAAACAAGATGTAGCTTCTGAAATGGTGGCTACTTGGTGCGTTTTTGCTACACGAGCAATGAGAACAATGACACTACTGGGTATATTGCCCCAATTTGCGTGAAGCTGTACTCCTTATTGACATGAATCGTTCTAATCTAGTCATCCTCCTGTAACTGGGACAAAATTTTTCTTGCACAATTCTGGCACTATTATTTTGGTAAAAAGCTGCGAGATGTAAGCTTATAGCTGGGCGGGTTGGTTCTGTTCATACATGCTGCACATTGGTGTGGTCAGTGTGGAGTTTCTGTTTAACCGCAAGCACACCTGGACAGGGTGCATAGTTCCTTTTCAGATCCTCTCATCTCGCCAGGTGAGAAGTGATTTGTCGAAGGAACCCTTCCGGGTGATATCATCACTTCCTTCCCACATATTTTGGCGACGTCTCCTCCACCGAGAATTGTACGTGGCATAACAGCGCCGTTATTTAAGACATTTAGCAGTCCATTTTCCATGGAAAGTCCCACTGTATATCCGAAAGGAATTCCTTTGCTCACGAACTCTCCTTTAGTGACAGATCCACATAGAGCGACAGTGCACCCCAATCCTTCCACTGATCCCGCTGTAGATCCGGGAGGTGATAGTTTACTCAATGTGCTGATAAACGCAGATATTTCCTCGTCATCCTTGAAGACTACGAGCAATTTAGCTTCGGTCACCAGTCCTAATGCACTGTGGCCCCTCCGAACTCCCACTGTTCACCTGAAAGTTGTCAACTCTTAAGTGTCTGCAGTGTTGACCGTCTTCCCAAGTGCGAAACCCAATCCGGATCGGACCAACCAGCAGATGGCTAGTCAGTTTATTCGACGATTCGGTAACGGTAATGGGATGGTTGTGCCGGAATCGCCAAACACGCCATCATACGTAAAAGGTACCTAGCCTCTGGAACTCCGTCAATGCAGCCACCGTCCAAGACCCGCAGACCAGTTTACATTCCTCCCCATGCCGAACTGCGAGTATCCGATAGTCTCTTTCCCAATCTATCTACGGATTCAAAGAGGCTGGATGATTGACGTGATGCATCCAGAATGCGTAAAGGGGCGCGCGGATTCCAATTCCCACAAACCGGCACACATAATTAAACTGTTTCATATCCTCAGAGTAACTTGATTTGTTGATATTTTCGTGTTATTATTACTACTCGCGTCTTGATTTGCTCGCCTAGTTTGGCTGTTGCATTGTAGACACCTTCACGGATCTGAGAACCACTATAATAGTGCACTGATATAATGTTCGCAACTCAAATGGCTAGTACATTGGTGTGGGAGATGTTTTGACGGCGTCGTACATGATCCTTTTTCATGGTCGTGTTACCATCACCCGCTTTTATACACACATCCGACAAGCCACAATTGGTGCATATTTGAATTAAATAAATAAATTATATATTCCTCGACGACGCGAGAAACTGTTCCCCAAAAGGAACAGATCAAACAATGGTACAACCTTTCCATGACAATTCATTAATACATTTTCAGAAATAAACATGGGTGCAATTGCAAATTAGGTAACACAGAGTAATCAGAATCGTTCTGCTATTTTTTTCCTGCTATTGAATCAGGATTCTTCACAATCACATGACAGATGTTTGGGCCTAGAAAAAATAAGTAATAAAAGGGGTTGCTGTCCGAAATGTTATGGGTATGTGTTTCGGAAATTTATTCAGGTAGCATGGATACCGTTTTCGAATGCGCTATCTAGGGACTGCGATTTCCCGAACATCTTAATCATGTTTTGGACGGTTAAATACTAATCGCAAGCTTAAAATTGCAAAGTGTATAGCATGTTTTGATATCACTTGGAAGTTTGTTCCAAATCTTTGAGTATTGGGTTAGAAAGAAACGTTCTCTGATTCTCGTAGAAAATTTTGGAATCATGACATCTACCTCTGTTACGTAGTGGATATCTGCTGTTTAAAGATGTGAACACCGTTTTCAAGCCTGCGAATTTAACAATTTACGATTCTGTAAAGAAAAAAATAGGTTCAGCTTCATTATCCGAAGCCACACTGGGTCAAATCCAATTTTATCACATCGCTCTCTGTATGTCAACTTTGACGAATACCCACATAGCTTTTTTATGAAGCGTCTATGGACCCTCTCAAGAGCGTGTTGGTCAGATTTCCGCAGATTCTGTTGCATTTTCGATACCCACGTTCGGCTAAGCCCCCATAATACTACGTTTGCATGCATTCTCCATATACCGTCTTCGATGAGGGTCATCGTGCCAAAACCTTCACCCAGCATCTCGTAGAAACTGAGAAAACTTTTTTAACAACCTTGAAGTTGCAGAATCATCTACCGAATGCGTGTATTATCTGCACAAGTTACGGAACTGAGCACTATAGTCGGTATGACTCCCTCAGGTTTATTGGGGCGAAGGTATTCTGTTCAAGACTTTCAAATACTGTATGCAGAATGTCAGGGCATCTTATTGGTGGGCATGGATATACAGTTGCTGAACATCGCCAGGCAGCTGAGATTCTAGGATCTACAGTTCGGCATCCTGAAGATACCCATTGAGGACGGACGTCTGAACAGCGAGATCCTCGTTGACGTGTATAATTAGCGTTTTGGTCTCGTACTCCCCCCCCCCCACTTACCACAGTCATTACTTCGGCTAGAAATCACTGTTTTTACGTCATACTCTCCAGAGGTGTGCACGCCAGCATCTTAATTCTTCGCAAAGTGAACGTCACTTTGAATGTCTTGCTTACCAGTTCTCTGTTTGCTTATACAGCAGTCCGAGGTTTATTTTTCGTTTTGTAATAGTCCGGCCTCTCACGATGTTCTCTTCGCCAACTTGCGCTATTTGGCATTACCGAGTAGCCCTCCGAAGACATAATAGGTGTTGGATTCCGACTGCCATTTACTTACCCCACAGTGGTGTACTATTTATATGGCACTTCACATGAAATTTCATCAACACTTCAGTTCACCCTTCACTATTTTCGGTGTGCTGTCTTCGCATGATAGCATAATACGTTTGCGCAGCAAACGTATCGATTGAACATTTGTGGACGACTAATGAAGGGTCAGAGGTCATTCGACTCAAAACAACACTTGTGCGGCCTCCTTTATCTATTGCCACAAACAGTCGCTCTTGCATGTCCGATTCGCAAGACCCGAAGACCAATTCTTGCGTCCGTTATGCAGTCGTTGCTGCCACTGACACATTCCTTATCGCTGTGAGAGTAGCATCCTCGGTGAGCAGCTTACTACTTCACGTATTTGTTGTCTACATCAATTCTCAAGTCAAGTCAATTCCAGAGTGTGTTTTATGCACCGATGAAGGGTGCATATTCAGCTCCAACACACACACGCCAGGGACAGAGATAAGTAATGAAAACGGCTAATACGCGAGGATAGATATAATGTCATAATCATTGAAAAAATAGTTGACAGAGCTACTATCACGAGTTATTTGCTTACCAGTTCTTGGGTTACGGAATCTTTATCGTTCGTAAAACGTTACTCGAAAGAAACTACTGGTATGTCATAGGCGCTTGTGCAGGTGTAGATCTGTCTAGTCGAGGAGGTTGTTACGCATTCGGGCAACACTATGTGGAGCGTTAGCTAACGTCAGTGTGCATTTTAGATGCAAGCTTGTCACAGGAGTAGGCTTAAATGCTGGCTTAAATGCTGTTAACAAGTTCCAGCCTTGAAATGCCACTGCACCGGGGTAAATGCTTCACTGATCTGGCAATTACTTTGAGGTCCTTACTCAGGAGTCGAGGGAAGAGAGCAAGTCCAGTAGGGTAACACGCATGCAATGGTAAAACGCTGGATCAAAAAAACGGGGTACGGACGTAGACCTGAGACATGTGCCATACGATGACAGTCTTCTAATTGTAGCGAATGTTTCGTTCACGTGAAGGGACCAATTAAGTCCACTGCTCAAGGTAACTTTCAGGTATATTGCTTAAGTGCAGACACGGTGTAAGACTTTCTGGTGGCAAATTCCTTTGAACTGTGAAACTAGTACATCCTTACATTTTTTTAGCCTTCAACGATAGGCAACAGGATTTGGACCAAGGTGTGAGGTTGTCCAGGATGGGTTGTAACTTGACCGATGGCTGTAACCTTGGATGATGAATATCCAACAGCCTGGTAGGTTGGATACTCCTAGTAAATTAATCTTCCAACAGAACAACCGAAGTATGCATTTCAGAATCTAATAAATCGCGCAACATCATTTTCCGGTTCCCATAACCAAGAGCGTTGCTACTGTACGGAAAACTGTGGATGTATTTGTTCTTATTTTCCAGTGGCAAAATCACCGGATGTACCAGAACTGCCATACCCGATCGATAGTTGGCGGCATCCGGTTTCGGATATGTCTGTCACTGTGGCCAGCCACAGGACACCTGCGCCTACAGCGGGACCATGGGTGGCTTGCACTGCACCACCCACAGCTCCAACCACATACCCCATATCCAGTGTAAACCCGAAGGAATAAGACCGGGAGTATGTGGATGGGAGTCACGTTTCATCAACCGAGCCGGCCCATACTCCTTCAAAGGCAAACACAAGCACGCTGTAGTTGGGGAATCAAGCGCACACAAGGCGGAGTGCATGGAACCACTCTTCGAGCCTAGCACGGCCACAGTGACCGTGCACCCCGTCCCCTCTAGCAACGACCAACTGTCCTGGAGCCAGTATGGACGAGGTAGTGGGTAACAGACGGGTATGCACCTTGTCAACATGCACATCAAGCGCAGTCACACCGGGGAGATCAAACAACAGTCAATCACTTGAAACGACAAGATGAAATATAATAAATCCAATAGTGCGTACAGATACAGTGGCACAAGTCTCCGTTAAATTAGCATGTGATGTAAGTTGGTTAGCAATGAATCCCCGATAAGAATAAATGTCCAGAAGTTACTCAAAATCTACACAAGCAACAAAATTATCGAAGCGAAGCGCAATTAGCTTAAGCAACTTGGCCAGTTAATAGAAGATTATTCAGGTAGGCAGAACAAACCAAATAAAGTGGAATGAAATTTAGCCAGCTTAAAAAGAACTAGGTTAAATGTAAATTGGTTTAGCCCAACTGCGATGATGAAGCATCAAGAATGCAACATCAGCCTCAGCATGATCGATGGATGCATGGTATATTCGCACAACCAGCCATCCGTATAGAAAAATTTAAACAGACAAAATGAGCGAGGTATGCTTTTATTGTCGCAACGTACAGGCTCACTACTCTGAAGGGAGCATTCAGGTTGCGCGGTTGCCAAATCACATCTTCTCCTTGGTACGTAATGAAATTATAATTATCAATATTTTATACATCATACGCGGAAACCTCCAGCTTAATCGAATGAGCAACGATTTATCACGTGTTAAAAAGCAAATGCTTGACAGGTCATATAGTATGCTTAGGGCAAATTCTACAAAAGCAAAAGGTACATGAGTCATCTACTGAGAGCTACCTAGATAAGTGCGTTAACTAAAACTGCTATGTAAAATCAATTTATGCAACCATACAGAACAACACGAGATGCTATGATCGTTGACGTAAAGCGTGAGAAAAACGAAATATGGTCCCACACTTAGGTACCGGCTTCTTGGGTCTATGTGACACATAACTCCGATAGAAGAACCTCATTACCGTAATCCACAATGGCATAGTTTAGGAAACGATGTGCTGGGAGCTGAGAGCAACATCCAATCGTTTTTTTGTACATATCCAAAGTAAGGGAGAATACAACTGAGTTTCAGAGACAGTTCTAAGGGTCGGCAAACTCTAGGAGAAAATAATTCCTTATTAACGCAGTAAGAAGACATAGGTTGCGATATGTTAACATTTCGATTGCTCTCGTCAGTCGCTACGCAATACAGGCAGAAAAACATGCAATAAATAGGGTCCACATTTAGTAACATAGATAAGCAGATAAAATTGATGGGAATGACATAATCAGGCCCAAGGCAATCTAATTGATTGCCTCAGTTGTTTCTGGGCACAGAGCACGGAACAGTTCAACCTTATCAGTAGCGCCTCGCCAATTGCCAACAACGTCGGGTTCCTGTTGCGCAATAATACCTTGAATGAATCGATTGGGTTCCCCTGGTGACAAGTCTTCATGAGGTGTTTGGTGATAGACGAGGCAGCGTTCCGGTTCATTCTTTGGTCCTCTCCGCCTTGGTTAGACAGCAACTGCCTTAGCCACAATGGGAAGTGTTCCGCCACCCATTGAGCCAGGCGGCGACCAGTGTTGCCTATGTAAGTGTCATGGCAACTGCAAATGAACTGGTAGATGATGTTAGAGGCCGAACTGATTGGCGAGCTACTCTGACGGCTGTGGAGAGGAATCCTTCGTGTAGTGTGGATCAGTAGTAGTTGGGCGGTAGAGTAGGTGTGCATTAGAGCGGACCTGAGCTTGTGACCAACTTCATTTGCCAAGTGATCCCCCTTGAACGGTAAGAACAAATAAACATCCTTCTTCTCCGCTGTTTGTACTGGCAGCTTCTCCTTGGGGGGTCTGCTATGGGTCTGAATGAATTTCTCCGGATACCCATTGGCTAGCAAAGTCCGGTATAAAAACTCTTCTTCAGCCTTGAGCAAGTCCGGACTGCAAGTCCCCCTGACCCTGTGTATGAAGCTTTTACGAGGCCGCGCTTGTATGCAACTGGAGCGAAGCTAGAAAAATGTAGGTATTATCCCCACCCCCATGTCGCTTTTCTCTGCACATTGCGGTGCAATATGCCAAAGGTCCTTCCCTTGATGAGCACGTCCAGAAACCGTAGTCTGTCCTCTTGTTCCCTCTGCTGTGATACAGAAAGTTCGGGTGAATTGTGTTCAGGAGGGTAGAAAGACTATCAAAATGTGCACCACTAGTGAAGACGAGAACATCATCTACATAACGCATGTAAAGCTTGGCTTCACCTATGCAGGCAGCAACTCCTTTCAATCATACCCAGGATGATATCTGCCAGAACTGGTCCCAAAGGACTGCCCATAGCGACACCGTCAATCTGTTTGTATGCCGTCCCTTCAAACTGGGATCGCACGTTCTTAGTGCACACCAATATCAGGTCTCGTAGGACCACCAGAGAAAGGTCGACATAGAAGTTCCGACTCAAAAGATATTGGCATAGGTCGTCGACCGTTTCACGTAGGGGCACATTCGGGAAAAGCGATTCCACGTCTATGGAATACATGAGCTCCGCGTCGAGTGTTGCTTGTTCCAGTACATTAACTAATCCAAACGCGTCTTTCAAACAATGCGTGCTCAGGAGCTTGCGCACGGGTTCTAAGATCTTTGCCAACCGCCGAGCTACTTTGTGGTAGGGTGAGTTATTCATACACATTATTGGGCGTATAATAATTCCGTCGTCACTCTAGACGGCTGTATTGTTCATTCAGTTACCTCTGAGCTGAGTGTTGTGCCTATTTCAGTAAATGGCGGCACACATGGTTGGGATCATTCAATATTTGGTAAACATCACCATAAGCATCGGCTACTTCAATTGCTGACCGCGTGCATCTATCAGTCATGACTAGTGATCGGATTTCACGCAGCAACTTACGAAGACCATTAAGGTGACTGTGTGACAGTTTACGGTTCGCGCAGAATCGCTTCATCAACTCCTACTGATGCACCACCTTGTCCTCATGGATCAATTTCACACAGCAGTTACGATATACCAAGTATGCAGTCCATGATTTAACATTTGAGCAGTCAATGTGAGTTCGCCGTGCCCATTTCCTCTGGGACATCCATTAACTTGTTCCGCTCCTCAGAAATGAGTGCCATTTAATTTGTCGATGGAAGGATTTCTGTTTCAATGCGGCGCCACCAGTGTGCTAAACGTCTTTGTGAACGTTGCCCAGGCGACTACTTGGGGTATTAGGTTAAGCAAGTCCAGGATGTATCGTTGACAAACTTGGATAAGACCATGTAGTATGTGATAGTGCACACTACATCGACCTCCTTTACAGGATATTCCGCATAGCATATATATCTAAACAGTAGGGTAACGGGATCACTGCGACCCGTTGGTGTGCTTGTAACTGTTCCATCGACCATGAGTTTTTTATCGCTGAGCACGAGGTCAAGTATCGACAGCCCGTTAGTAGTCCCACATCTAATGGGATTGGTTACTTGGTTGTACAGAGGGTAACTGAAGGTTAGTACTTACAAACAGGTTTTAAATTATGCACTATTGATTGCTGACGTTTCCACGTCGTGTATAGTAA